GCCATGCTGGGCTTCCCCTTGGATATGTATAGTCACTGTTCTAGTATTCTAATATATCGTACTATATATCTTTTGTTATGAGGGACACACAGCTCTTGTGTTCTTTCTGGAGAGAAAAAATTACCTGCCCTATAACAAGAAACTTAGCATCTCGAACACACACTTTTGGTATCTTTCGAAAGGCATCGTCGGCTATGGCGTTCTGCGCACAAGTTATGTTGTGTGGTTGAGATGCCGTAATATTTTTTTCTTGTAGAAAACCCGTAAAGCAAGGTCAGTAAATAAAGTAAACTAGTCTTATTGAACAAATATATTTGGATAGAACGCGGCCTATTGGTTAGACTATGAAGCAAAGGTTCAATAAGTTGTAATTTTACTAAATTGGTAACTCAAGTTGACGATTTTAACGACAATAGCCACTATTTGAATCGACTTTTGTCTTCTTTTTCTCCCACTTTACTTATGTATCTCTGTTAATTGGCTCATTTTTATATAATTTTCTCTCATTGGCTCATTTTTACATATTTCTTTGTTCTGTTTGTATGGTTGATTCTTAAGCACAAAGCTACATCACTGCCTATCTGTGTGGTGCCATTCACGGGCAAAGCTACATCACTGCCTATCTGTGTGGTGCCATTCACGGGCAAAGCTACATCACTGCCTATCTGTGTGGTGCCATTCACGGGCAAAGCTACATCACTGCCTATCTGTGTGGTGCCATTCACGGGCAAAGCTACATCACTGCCTATCAGTGTGGTGCCATTCACGGGTACTGAAATCCGGATTTTTAGTATTATAAGTCTTCAGACTGACCGCTGAACCATTTGGGTGGAGGGCATACTTTTCTGCTTTGTTTTTAATATTTTAACATATGACTTACGTAAACGACTTCAAAGCAGATCTGGACATATAGGTTAAAATACCTTTATGAAAATTTTGTTTCCAAAAAACAAAAAAGATAATTATAAACGTGAATGAAGGCTAGAAGCTTATTAAAACAATATAATGACCGTGGAGTTCCATAGTTCGCATCTCCCCTTCCTAAAAAAAATTACTCTCCACAATTTGTTGCCGTGGTTACGTTTATAATAATGAGGGTTAAATCCCACTCTCCGGTCTCACAAGAGTAATTCAAGAGATGACAGTCTGTATTATTCACTGGTTGAGTAAGTCAAGAGATTACAGTTTCTATTGTTCACTGGTTGAGTAACTCAAGAGATGACAGCCTGTATTATTCACTGGTTGAGTAACTCAAGAGATGACAGTCTGTATTATTCACTGGTTGAGTAACTCAAGAGATGACAGTCTGTATTATTCACTGGTTGAGTAACTCAAGAGATGACAGACTGTAATGTTAACTGGTTATATTTGCCAATAATTTCAAAATTTGGACACTTTGTGTATCTTTTCACGACAATTCTAAAACAAATAAACTATACATAAAAAAATCCACAAGACATTTTGAACGCCCTCTGCTCTCTCTCAATTAGTCGAACATACTTACTCTTTCAGACACGTAGACGTTATAGTGTGACAATCAATCATAGCCCAAAAGTCTTTGCTAAACACTATTCTAACCCCCTGAACTGAAAGTTTTATAACGACATGCAAGTGTTCATGACATCACAACTAAAAAAATTCCAAATTTAAACTTAGCGCCCCAGATTCTTACTAATTAGATAATACAATACGTTGGATATCATTGGATTTTTATTAAGTTTTTTTTTCTCTCTGTAACTTTCATACGCATGTTTTTACAAGATTTTCTCAACATTGTCTGAATACTTTGTTCAATTTGAATCCAGTAGAGAGCATGTGAAACTAGCGACATCTATTACAGATGCTAGTTACTACAGGGATGACAGATACGTATAATAAATAATCTGGGGTTTAAAATATAATTGATTGATAAAATGAGGTGCACAGACGTCTGTTGTATTGTTTATTGTTGTTGCCATCACATTTAGAAAATATTAATAACGTGATATTAATTTAATGACAATAACAACATTCTTGTACAGATGAACGAATGTAGTACCAACATATCTTTATAGATGTTTTCCCAAGCGTATGATTATCATCACATTTGAGGTAAAACCAAAACTAAAGTTTTACAGACACTATTTGCTTGCAACTTATTTAATCTGTTTAATGCTACACTTGCAAAAGGGGTTACTAGTAAATTTCGTATTCATTTTAGTGTTTTAAATTCAGATAAACGTGTGAAAATTAAACGCGTGTGTCTCGGTAAATTTTGGTACAAAGTTATAGGTTGTAGTTTTAAGGTTTAATCGTGGATATAAAATGTTGTTTTATTTTTTCGGAAAAGGAAATAACATAATTCGCGGTTTGTTAGGAGAATCTTGAAGCTTGGTAAATTATAACTGTGAGCATAGCGCAGTTATTATTGATGTAAGTGGTTAAGTGCACGATAAAACTGACATATTTCCGAGTTGGCAAACACGGTTTACTGGACTTCCTTTGTTTTTAGTGGAAAAATTAAACGTGCTGTTAACGACAATAGTTCGTTCTTTAGAAACGCAGAGACTTAATTTTCATAAGCTATATTTTTATTATTGTAATGTGTTTTAACTCGAATGTTACTATCGAGTTAGTGCTGGAATATTCGACATATGAACGAGACGTTTTGCGAAATGTCTACAACAAGGATTAGATTATAAATACGAAAGAGTCAGTCAATTGTAAGCTTGCAGTGAAACAGTGAAGTATCAAAAGATGAGTTGTTTTCTAGCCAGTAGTTATTAGTGATCAAGATAGTTGTTTTTAAACAAGGAGTTCTGTTTTCTCCAGAGACCGGAGTTATTCTTTGAAAGCTTCATTTCTTTGATCGATACGAGCATGAAAATATTTTATTAACTTACTTGTTCCTTATTGTACGCCTGCGTAATAAACAAAGTTAACGAAAACTGACGCGTCTGTTTCAGTTATTAATAGTTAAAACATTTGACAGACAAAAGTTTTGACGAAATAAATATATAATTGTCAAGTGAAAAAACTGAAACGTATAATAGGTTTCTTTTTCTTTTTTTACATAAGTCAAAAGAAAAAAATCATTACAAATACATAAAGTATTTCACTCCTTGGAGAAATTCTTGAATCAAGATGAACTCCATTGTAACGTGATGTCATTTTAAAACAATAAAAGAATATATCTAACAGACTGTTTTTAATCTAACAAGTTACGAAATCACAGAATTCTTCTTCGGGAGTTAAGTATTAAAATTCAAAGTGGAAACTGCGCCCCCTAGTGGCACAGCGGTATGTCTGCGGACTTACAACGCTAGAAACCGGGTTTCGATACCCGTGGTGGGCAGAGCACAGATAGCCCTTGTGTAGCTTTGTGCATAATTATGAACAAACAAACAAATTAAAAACAAACTGGAAACTGTTTTGCTTGTAAAACAGATGGTTTAGATACCTAATGAATCACTTTAAACTCTTTATATTTCACAACCCAATCTACCTAGAATTATAAAAAAAAAACTTCAACAATCTCTAGTTGATTATGATGTGATTCGGACTTTTTCGTGTTATTTTTAATTCTAAAGATTTTATTCTGTTTAAAAAAGTCGTCTTTTTAATCTGTTTTATTGTTTAGTATTATTAAATATCCTAAAATTATTATTTTTATTTATCTTATAACGTTTTTCTTGTCAGTGAAGTTAATTTCTTATTTTGTTTCCCTTATACACTTTTCTGTCTTCATGATTCAAGGAATTATTACTTCTTTAGGTGTAAGTAATGGAAGTATAAGGATACGACGATTAGAAGGAGTCAAAGCAGGTCAAGGCCTGTACATAGAACAAGTTATGTACACTTACTATTTCTATGTCGATTTTTGAGAAATATTTCTTATTCTTACTTGGGTCATGATATTTTATTTATTTATTGTTTAATTCCGCAGTTCACTTTTACCTGCTAATAATTTACAATAAAAACAGGGAATATGCTGGTATAATTCATTCTCTATATCTTCGTGATTTAATTTTCCACCCTAGTGGCACAGCGGCATGTCTGCGGATTTACAACGCTAGAAGTCGGGTTTCGATACCCGTGGTGGGCAGAGCATAGATAGCTCATTGTATTGCTTTGTGCTTAACTTCAAACAAACAAACAAAAGCTCTTAAATGTATAAAGCTGAATAAATAAATAGAATTAAGTTTGTGCTTAACTTCAAAATCTCAGCTTTAATATTTACTCTTTTTTACTTAATATTTACTTTTGGTTTACTGAATACCATGGGGAAGACATGGAAGTGGGGGATTTAGGTGGCACTACCTTTTGGTTTAGTAAATACCATGGGGGAAGATATCGGGGGTGGGGGTCAGCTCCAAACGCTGAACACTCCAAGTCACTTTCCGAGGGCCCTAGTCAGATGCCAAATTTGGTGACACTACCTTTTGGTTTAATGAATACCATGGGGGAAGATATCGGGGGTGGGGGTCAGCTCCAAACGCTGAACACTCCAAGTCACTTTCCGAGGGCGCTAAGGTAGATGCCAAGTTTGGTGACAATTGGTCTAGAGGTTCGCAAATTGCAGACGAACAAAGTATAGGGACAAAACAAATGGGCCTCTGGGGGTGATATGGGGAGTAAACCCCAACGATAACTTATATGTGCCATTCCCCCTGTAGGCTCTAAGCATGCATATAAAGATAATTCAGAATCAGCTGAGTAAATGTTACAAAATATTAAGTTACTTAATATAATCCTGCTAGTTACTCTGGTTTTCTTGAAATGTTTATATTTCTTTAACATAAATTTTGCAAACATCCAATGTACAGGGTGGGCCATAATTTCGTGCCTATTTCCTATTGCAAGTAAAACGCCGCCATTTTGAAAATTAGTTTTGCTCGTTTCCTGTGTGTACTAATGCAAATAAAAAAAAAACCAACTTAAGCCGTTCTGTTCGCATCTTACTAATTTTGGGTATTATTATTATCATCTCATAATGTCTGTGAATATTTTGTTATATTTAGTCCACGAAGACTTACTACATCTGCTAAAGTAATGGATCTGGACAATATTCTACAAGAAATTGGGGAATTCGGTACCTATCAAAAGCTCGTGCTTGTTTTTCTAATAGCACCTGCTTGTCTCTTCCATGGCTCTCAGAGTGTTACTCAAGTTATTGTCTCTGTGACTCCAGACTACTGGTGCCGCCTATCGGAATCAAAAGGTGATAATCTATCATCACTTATTCACTCGACCCGACTTAACCGATCTATTTCTGCTTCTTGCTTCACTCTACAAGATAACAGAAGCATTTCAGAAAATTATACCGATTTTGTTACAAATGAGACCTTCAGTGTTCATCCAATCAAGTGTGAAAATGGCTGGGACTATGACACTACTCAATATTCGTCAACAATAGTAACAGAGGTATGATTTTGTGTGGCTAAGATTAGCATATACGTATGAACAATGAAACCCTAACATGAAACTTTAATTAACAATTGTAACAACTGTTTCTGAAAAACGATCAGCACTGAAATTCCAAATCAAGTTACTAACAGCTTAAGAAATATTTAAAAATATATAATAGATTATTATAGCTTAATAACTTATAGTCCTCATTTAAACCTAACTCCAATTATATTACAGATATAGATATATGTTTACCAACATGTTGAATAAGATTCCACAATACGTTTTTCTTATGAAATAAAAACTGACTTTTGTTTGTTTGTTTTGTTTTCGTGCAAAGCTACACAATAGGCTACTTATGTTATATTTATCACGGGGGACGAACCTTACATTTTATAGTTGTAAGATGTCTTAATTCTTTCTAATTTATTTTCCTCGTTAGTAGTTGCCCCTCAGTGGCACAGCGGTATGTCTGAGGTACTTATACCGCTAAAAATCGGGTTTCGATACCCATGGTGAGCAGAGCACAGATAGCCCATTTTGTAGCTTTGTGCTTAACTACAAAATAATCAGTCAACCGTTAGTAGTTGTATAACTATTGGTGTTTTAACCAGTTTCTTCCTTTCTAGTGGGATCTGGTTTGTGATGACGACATACTCCCGACTGTAGGATTTTCCATCTTCTTCTTAGGAACCTTCATTGGAGCATTTTTATTTGTGAATGTGATCGATAGGTTTGTGGGATCATTTATTCTCTTTGGTTACGATACGTTAAAAGAAAAATGTTTTTAGCTAACAGGAAAACATTAAAAGGAGTTATACATTTTTTTTTAATTCAAAGTCTTTAGGTGAATTGTAAATATTTATCCAATAGAAACATTATTTTAACTTAGGGGCTTCAAAGTAAGAAACGTATTTTTTTATCTAAATATCAAGCAAACCGTACCTGATCCAGACTAATCTAGACGAGCCTAGTCCTAACCTAGTCTAGCTTAACCCTAGCCCAACCTAGCACAGCCTAACTAACCTACAAGAGCCTAAGCTAACGTAATTCAAATTAGGTTAAACTAACTAAGTGTTGTTTAACTTACCAAAGTTCAGTGTAATTAAACCTACTGAAAGCTACCTTGAAACTTGCTGACCCTCAAATAATTCAATAAATCTTGAACAATCTATCCTGAACTTCATTAGATTAATCCGTTCTCTTTTAATCTAACAGAAGCTCAAATAACTTGTATATTTTAATTAATTAATTAATGGAGGAATAAATTAATTTGTTATTATTGCCTGTCCTGGTCTTTGCATTATTTTTACCAAGTAATCCAAAATAATCTGCCAGAATATGCTATAACATTAGAAAGACAAGAAGAATGAGAAAAAAAAATGAGACAAGAAAACATTTGGAAAACGAGTTTGTAAATAAAAATAATAAACCAGACATACCTCTTTGTGCATCCACCCAAACATTCTAGTCTAGGTCCAAATTTATTATAACATATGAAATAGTAGAACCTATTTGGTCTACACCTATTACCTGTACTTCTGTTCCATCTGTGGTTTCAGGAGCTTCATGGCCTACTCCAGCCTTGTTATTACCAAATCAAGTTCCAAAACTTATCTGACCTGTCCAACAACCTGCACCAATCAAGAAACCGACAGTCAGGTTCAGTTTAAACTAACTTACAGAGTTAATAGGTGTAATAGTGGACAACAAACTCTTCGTATTGCTGCTCATTTAGAGGAATCAGCTTTAACAATATTAAGTAACATTCCAACTTTCCAACCATAACAACCATAAAGAATTGGAAGCTGCGTTATCCAGTAAGTTTTTAATAACACATCAGAAGGAAACATCCAGAGCAAAATTCCAGATCAGACTAGAGAGGAAAGAAAAGACCTTAGTCAAACTAGCAGAAAACCTCGAAAGGCTCTACCAATTATTTTATCCAGATGCTCCACGTGAAATGAAGGATTTGCTGGCACGTGAGCACTTTACAGATTCCTTAAAAGATGAGAATTAGACTGAAGCACCTTTAGGTGTACATCAACAAAAGAATCTCTCCAACTGGTGATAGAACTTGAATTTATTAAAGTTGCAAGTTCCCCTGATTGTAATCTAGATGGATTGAAAATATGAGTTAGATAACTAGTCACACAGAAAGGAGGAAATATACCATATGACAATAGGTGTTTGAAATGTAACTAGACAGGACGTATTACCCAAAACTGCAGATAAAAGTCTGTATGGAAAACACTATTGCCAAATGATGTCCGAAAAGAGGAACTGCTATAAATGTGTGAAACATAGCCATTACAACCCAAA